CTGGCGGCATCAGCCATGTGTCCGTCGCCAGTCAGACGAGCCCTCTGAACCCTGGCTCCACATGGGAAAGGTCCGCCGGGTGCAATAAGACCTTCAGAAATAAAATAGGACTGGCCTGTGAGAGCTCCTCATGCTCCCAACCGCACATCCGTACCTCGCTGTCTCCTGTAGCCTCACACCGCGGGACGGCACGGACGCCTCTCCGCTGACCCTTAGGAAACACAGCTGAGTAACGTTTCCTTCTGGTTATTGCGCCATACACACTCACATTTGCCAGGCATGAGCGGAGCGGCCAGGCACAGCTGATGGTTTTGGCAGATGCATCAGTAAAATCAACGAACCGGCACAGTTTATCCCTATCACTCAGTGCCCGTCGTCTCGCACGAGCACTTACCTTGCTACGATTCCTCCCATCCTTCCAGGGGCTGGGGATGTTCAGGACCTTCTCCTTCCAAGATTCTTGCCTAGAGCAACTTCTGCTGAACATCACTCTTTGAAAGCCAAAAGCTGGCATTGCCTCGCAGAGCAAGCCCCAAACGTCAATGCAGAAAGCGGGTGCCTCTCTCAACGCGCTCTCCGTGCCGGTGACCGCGCTGCTCAGCAGGGCTGCCGTACGCAGCGCTGCACGGAGCAACCCAAAGCAGTGCAGACCAAGCACAGAGCCCAGCCAGGCAGGATCAGTCAGCCCACACAGAGCTCTACATCGTCCCAAGCATTTGTATTCCTTTACCTTGAAGTCTGAGCCTCCTCTCTTTTTTTTCCTGTGGAAATCAGAGAAGAGTTAGGAACTTTCCAGTCTGACATCCAGACTTTCAGTCTAAAAGGCTGACAGCATTTCCCAGCAGGGCTCTGAAGTATAAAGCCTGACGACAGGTCAAGTAGTACAACACACATAAACTTGTTCAGATGCAAACATTTTTTTATGTATTTTTTCTTTTTGTTACACAAATTACATTCAGTTGAACTGCCCAGAACATTTTTATTTCATAATTATCTAGTCAGATCAAATCTGTAGTGGCCAAAACACATAAATCTCTGGCTTAGTTTCTGGAAAGGCTGCGCTTTGAGTGAATGTTATAGACATAATATTTAAACAAAAAGAAAACAAAATAAACAATCAAAAAACCCAAAGAAAAAGCCCCAAACGAACAATCCAAAAAAACCCCACCACCTGCCACAAATGTGACTATGAAGTTGAACTTTGCTTCTTCCCAGTCTGGCCTTCGTTGACTGACTTTTGACCTCCCATATAGTTTCTGGCTGTCATCTCCACGGTTGCACAACTTTTATGCTTCTCTTCAACTGACGAGATTTATAGGATCAGGTCCCTCAGGTTCATTTTTGCATATATGAATTCTCTAGTAAAATACTTTTCTGAACTGAAGCCAAAAGCTTCAGTAGGCACGAGATATCAGCTCTAGGAAAAACATTCTGGCTTGGTAGAAAATATTTATGTAGCTTTGCTGGAAGCAGCATACCATCCTCTCTAAAGACAAACAACTTGACACAAAGCGGAAATTTGAGCTCACTGTAAACTGATACCCTCTGAAGATTTTAATTTTTATTTTTATCACTTTTAATTGCAATGTCATCTTTGGAGCTGTTAAACCTTTGATTTCTACAGTCAACATAACCATGGTAGTACATCTGTCTGCATTTCCAGCATCTGACAGGTCTTTGAGCAGACATCCTATGTATAGCCCTGCAAGATCATTTTCCTGCACAGTCAGCAGAGGCACCCAAGCGTGGTTTCCTTGCATATGTCAAATTATTTATCAGGTATAAAGGAACTGTGGTCCAGCAGGTAGGATTACTTACTTTCCCCCAGGAATTTAAATCCTTGTTCCCTTTTTCTCTTCAGAGGAAATGTACCAAGAAAAAAAAAGCAAAAACAAAAAACACGTTTTACCCTTTCTGTGTGTCTATCTGCAGACCACTCCAAGATTTGATGTGTGAGTACTGATGCTTCGATGTGAGTGCACCGTACTCGCAGGCATCCTGCAGCAGGGGACCAGGCTGGCAGCGCCTCACTTTTCTACCTTACCATGTCCCCCAAAATCCCCCAAACTGGTACTTAAAAGACTGGACACGGGCTACATCGAGGAGATGGGGCTCGCCAGGTTCTGCAAGGTCTTCTGCAGGTTGATTCTCCAGGCACCCACATGGAGGCCTGGCCATGGGGGGGCTGCAGGAAAGTGAGCTGGGGGGTTCAGCTTCAGCAAAGCCCGACATAAGGGGGGACTGACCCCTGCCTGGGAGCCTGGAAACATTTCCAGATCTCACTTCAAACCACACTATCATTTAAAGACCATACCTTCTCCTGTGGGTTGTGATGGTTTTCCAAGTAAGACTGAATTTCCTGTTGGACAATGTCCAGCTGCTTGTAAATTAAACCATGAGAGGGGAGGGAGGGAAACAAACCCTTCAAACACACTGCTGCTCTCCTGGCTTAATTCAGCACAGGAACAGGAAGCAGCCATAACAAGAATAATAATTCTCAATTGCTTTGGAAAAAACAAACAACCAAACAAACAACAAACCAACAAAATTTATTTATTTCCAAATCTCAATGGTGAATTTCACAAGTTTCAGTAGATTACATTGGTTTTGTAAATGCTACTTTGATTTTACTCTAAGTACATAAACGCTTGATACAAAAGATTAAAAACACTCCACTTCCTGTTCTTCCTCTCTCCAGAGGTCCTTAGAGGAGTCTCACCATACTACTTCCCATCTTTTAGGAAAAGATTAACCCTTAACTGACTGGAAATAGCTAATTGCTGTTTTACCTGGACATAACATTACCACATTAATAATGTAAACCAAAGCAATCCAATAACGGAAACCTTCCTTATGTCAATAGTTCAAATGAACATTTATGTATCAATTCAGCAAGTCATTTGACCACAGATTTAAAGTTAAAGCTCTGACATCAAGACTTTCGTGTCTCTTTACAGCACTAAAAGACGCACTTAGTAAGTAATCTCCCCAAGTCTCACCAGTCGTCTTTTCTAACTAAAGAAGAAATTGTATTTCACTGGAGTTGGGCCAAAATCTGAATTTTCGACTTCACTGGTGGTACCAGCTGAGAAGAGGGGCTGAGGAGTTGGAGGAGGGATCAGGATCTATTTTGTCATATTCTTGTGGATATTTAGCTGATTTTTTTAATGTGTTTGTACATTTTGAAATCAGAAAGATAAAGCTCAAAATTGAAACGTTATTTCGAAGCAAAATAAACTTATTCTGCTTATACAATAATCAAAGCAAACATTCTGGCCTCACTTTGTTAATATTTGAATTTCAGAGAGTTTTCAAATATCTTCTCATTAACCTGAATCTTCACTTTCTGGTGAATGAAGTTTTAGCCCCCTGCCTCTTCCTTTCCCATTCATCTACCTGATTTCTAATTTGCTCTCCCCACCTATTTCCCTTCATAATGCTTGCCCACAGCATGGCTACTACAATGCTTTAGTTCGAAACCTGCATTTGCCTTCCATGTATTGGACTCTAAGTTCTGCAACATGCTCCCTTCCTCTATTTGCCAAGTTATGACATTAAAAATATTGTGTGTGTGTGTGTGTGCTTATACATATATTTTACTGAAGTCTGGGCTAGGCTGCAAAACTGAGATCTTGATTTTGAAGACACTTTGCAGGCAAAGCAAACTTGTTTCAGAGAACTGGATTGTTCTGCTAAAGAAGAAAAGGGCAGAAACAGGTGTGACATGCTCATCCCGATCTCGATTGGCAAGCTTAGGAACACTTGCAGCAAGGTTTTGGCTTAGGCTCATCCTCATTTGCAGTGATTTAAAGAACAAGAGCATAGCCTGCTTTTGGTAGGATCAAAGGTATCAGAAACAGAGTAAGTAGATTTTATCTTCTGTAAGTTCTGATGATTTTCTCAGTAAGTCTTGATTTCTTGTTGGACTACTTCCAGCAGTAACTGTAGTTTGTGTGTAAGATAATCTGAAGGGGGGGAGAAAAGGAAAAAAGTTTAATCCAGAGGAAATCTTGAGCAATGGCTGAAAATCAGAGTATCCGCACTGATAGCTGGAGCATTTTATGTTAGCAGATCACTGTATCTGTTTCCTTTCTTACTGTGTTTTCTTCTATTCACTGGTTACTGATACACCTCAGGCCAACATCAAATCAAAAGAAAACAAAATTCATACATGAAACCATAAATTAAAGTCAAAACTCGGCTCTTATTTCTGTGCCAATTGTTGTGCCACCAGGCAAAGATCCGTGCTAGACATTGTGTGGAGTGGAGATGTATTTCATTTACACACCCACATCTGTGCCCGAAACCATCCTGGCCTCTTCACCAAACAGACAGCCTGCAGGCAGCACCATCTTCTCCTACCAGTCATCTCCCCAGCCTCTCAGCAGGTATGCTTGTGCACGGGGTTACGGTGTCTGCCCGTCAGTCTCTCCATCCTAACTTTTGTTCTTGCTCAGTGTCAGCCAAATTTGACCAAGAGGTGGTGACCCCAAAGATACAATAAAGTTGAGTAGAAACCAGGGCTAGGGTGTGAGTGTGACCCTCTCTGTCCCCCCCCATTGGTAGACCTCAGTCCTGCCTTTTTTAAAACAAAGCCTCAGGCTGGTTTATTGGTACATTCACAGGCCAGGCAGACACAGCCCGTGCGCGGCTGCCGGCCGACTGCAGCACAGTCTGCCCCTCGTCTCTTCGGCTGCACAGGCTGTGTCTTGGGAAGGCCCTCAAAGGGGTGGAAGGGGTCATGATTTATATTTCATGAGGTCTGTTGGTCATGGAGCAATTTGCGTTAGAAACGAGCCCTGGGAACAAACCAATGTCTCCACCCCTGAGCGTGTTTAGGTCCAGAAGATTGAAACTCAATGCATACTTACAAAATGAGCTACGGCAACGATTTGACATTTGCCTATGGATTATGAGGTAGTAGACTGGAAAACCACTTAAAACCATGGTGCATCCAATGCTAATGTTCACAGGGTCTGAGTAGAAAGACATTGCCACGGTGAAGAGGCAGATAATGGTAAAAAAGACAGGAACGAACAGGGGAACCTGGGGAAAAGAGCAAAGGTGATTCTCAGGCAAAACTGATGGCTGCAGCAAATCAGCCTCCACATGTGCCAGCACACACTGTGTTCGCTTCTACATCTTAAAAGAAGATGAGAAAAATCATATAGCTGTCCTGCATACTGTTTCTGTACAATCAGTTGTGAACAAGTAGGTTGCATAGAACAAAAATTGACTTGTACCACTCTCAGAGCCCAGTGTACCCTGTGAGGTGCATACCTCCCTCCTAATATAAGCCTCATCTCACTTGCAAGTGGAAGCCAAGCGGGGGAGAAGTCACCTGTACCCCACCTCTCTCTGAAGGTACTGCTCCTGTGTGTGCACATGCACATGTATCTGCTTGCCATCTGTGGCAGTTGCTGGTGGAAAATCTGAAGCCATGAGTAGAAGCAGCACTTTGAATAAAACCATTCTTTGGTTATAACACTCATGACTCATTTTGACCTGCTTCCATCTTGCCAGAGACTTAGAGTGGCCAAAACAGGATCAACCGGACTCCCTATCTCCATTGTGCCTCCATCAAGAACATGAGTTTCAACATCACCCTGACAAAAGACCAAAGCAGCAGTCAGCATTTCAGCCTTACCCTGTTGGGTGAGCCAATTCATCAGGGCTATTTGGAGACTAAATCAGAAGACTGCAAAAAATAAAACCATGAAACATTTCCTCAGTCTTTGAATCCAACCTCAGCCAAAGTTACTCCTCGCCTTAGCTCATAGAGTGAAGGAGCTGCTGGTCTCACCTAGGGTGACAATCTCTTTTCTGGTAACAAAGATCCTATTTTGGATGCTGACCATGCCAAGGTGGAAGAGATTAGTTGATCTAGTAATGGCAGCCATTCAGTCACCAAACTTATGTGCTCTTTCCAGCCAGAACATCTCCTGCCAGACTCTCCTACGTGCATACATTCATGCTGCACATCTGCTTGAGAGGTGTGCAAGAGGACAGTTTCCTCCTCTCACCGGTGTTTCATATCATTTTTAACTCAAAATGCTATAGGGTAGAAGAAGTACCAGCACAATCACATGTATTTTATGATTTGTTTTTCTTAAGCAAGTGGCAGAAGACGACCTCACACCTCTCTCTGGCCACTAGAGCGCAGCACATGCCCACACCACCTGCCCGTGGCCCGCCCTTCCTGCAGATAACTGGGCTTCGAGTTTGAAGCAGTTACAAAAAGCAGGGAGAGGGGAGAAAAGCATCAACGAAACTGACCAAAAGCTCAGCATTTCCCTCCCTCACTTAAACCACCTTTAGGAACCGTTAAAAGCCTGAATCTCTATCTAAACCAAAACGGGGCAAAATCTCAGCAGTTGAAAACCTCACCAGTGCTATCCACTAATAAACTTTCCCCAAGAAGTTTGGTTTAAAAGAAAAAGGCAAAACCTATTTAAAATCTGGTTCTGGGTGAGTACACGAGTGCAACAGCCAACAAACTGGGAAGCATCAAGGTCTCTGCTAAACAAGCTGTCTCCAGCAAAGACCAAGAAGGAAAACTTCCCCAAGCTGTGCATCAGGCCTCCCATGGCTCAGAGAGGAGCCCCGGGAGCTGTGGGAAGCGTTGCTGTGCCCTGAGTTTCTCCCTGATCGGCTGCCCGGTGTCTGCGGCCTTGGAGATCTCCTCTCCTCCCCAGGAGTTGGCCGGAGGCACCGCGCAGGCACAACCGGAGATGGGAAACAAACTGTGCACGCCTCGAGCATCGCCCTGGCCAAACACCTTCTGCACATCATCCATCGGTGACAAAGGTGCCTCAAGTGCAAGAAAGCTGCTCCAGCACCAACTCCAGCTTCCCCCATGGATACGAGGGGACCAACTGCTCCCCAGCACCCGGCAGTGTAAGAAGGGCCACTGAAGGAGCCCAGCCGGAGGCTGGGGAAAGGCACAAGAGGATAAGGCATCCTCCAACTTCCTTCTGAGGAGGAATAATTGAATCCCCTTGCTCCCCTCCTTCCCTTTGCCCACTTTTAATGCCTCTCACCGCTTATGGTTGCTGATCTGAAAGCGCTAGAGGTTTGCAGGTGCACATGCAGGGCAGTGCCTGCACAGTAAATCCTGCACTCTCCTTTGAACTCGTCCCACCAGGAACGAGGAAAACAACGGACGTGCCAGCAGCACTGGTTGGAAGCCAGCATGGGAGAAGTCTGGACACAGCGTGTGTCAGGCAGCTCATCAAGCCCCACCAGACGCCTGGGCTCTTGGTAGAACGGGCCGACCACAAAGGTCACGCATGGCTGGAGGTTCACAAAGCCACTCTCCTCTCTCTCCCTGGAGCAAGAAGGAAGGTCTTTCTCCATGGGGCCACACACTGCACGGGCGTTACCTATTGTTAGCTGACCGCTGAACAAAACACTTTGTGGAACACATGCACGCACTGCACACAGCCTCAGGGCCTGTGGCAGCAACAGTTGTACACAACCTGCTTTACACTATACAGTATTTTTGTGCCAGCAGATGATTCCCCTTAAGTCAGGTTTGCTCCCAGAATCCCCTTTTCTCTCACACTCTTTTCTCCCATGCCTGACATCCTTCTGCTTCTCAGCTGGAGCCGAGACCTACCTACTGCTGAAATAACATCCAGGCCAGGGTTCCTCCTTGCAGCCCACAGGACATGAGTGTAGGAATGGCCTTCTGCACACCTCTCAGTTCCCAGCCTGAAACTTTATCCCTTGGAGCAGGCTGCCTTCTTACAGCTCCCACTAGTGACACCATGTAGGACCAGCTTTATAGAATTGGCCACATCTGGCTGTTTGGGCACATCAACCAACCTCAGGAGCTCCCTATGTGCCTTACTGAGCAATAGGACTGGAGACCCCCTTAGAGCCTAAAAGTAACCATGGCCATGTAATGCTTTAATTCTTAGCAAATAAGAGAGAGAAAAGACAAGCCTGTGCATTCCTGGCTGGTAGATACAGACCATGCATTACCTTGAACGGGCTGTGCAGCTCCGGGTGACGACGACGATGGACAATGAGCCCAAGGGTGGCTAATCCTATGAAGAGCCATCGGGAAAAGCTGAAGAAGTTCATTAGATGGTAGATATCTCCGATACACACCATGGCAGTAACCAAAGGGAACTGAGCATTGTGAAGATGAAATACAGTCATTAAAGCCTTACTATGGTCCTCAGACTAGAAAGGGTAATATGGATAACCTCCTCCAGCCCCCCTGCAATCACAGGCAGCTACTTCACACCCCCAACATTTCAGAGGTCACTGAGTACTTCACAAAGTGTGTCACAGACTGAAAGGAAGAGGCCTAAATACACAATTATGATGTGCTACAGAAAGGAGTAGTCATTTCAAGATCAATAGCATCTTTGATGCTCTATGTCATACACAGAGCAATTACAACATGCACGATCCAAAAGCCTGCACTGCCAGTACAAAGTCTACCTACAAAGATACCTGCTAAGTTTTTGGTAGGTCAGCCAAGCTGCAAGAGGAACTGCAGCACAGTTTGGATGGAGCTGACCATTGCCAGGAAAAAAAAAAAATAAAACGGAGAGCACCTCTGCAAATGGTCATACCTTGCATTTCCACCACACCTGGGAATTTTGGATTTCCAAATAGCCAAAACCTGGCAGAAGTGTTTTCACAGGATAATATCAAGCAACAACTGTGGCAGATGGTAGGGACAGTACTTCAAAAAAAGTTGTTCAAGGCTATAGGGCGAGGACTTTGAGGTAGTGGGTTAAGGAGATTTTGCAGCCATTTCCAGTATTCCACTTTCCTTATTTTTCAGAGGCTGACTTGGTGTCTCTATACCCTTTAAAACTCCTCAGCTTCTTTAGGCTTTGCAAGAAAGCCAAGACTACAAGAACAGGGTAAGTCACACGGCCAGGTCTCCTTACCATTAACATGACAGCGGGGAGGGGTGTATGCCTTCGAATGTGGATCATGGAGAAGAGCGGAGGCCACTGTCCTTCCCTGGAAGCCACAAACAGAGTCCTAGGAAAAAACCGGGAGCCCTATGCATTAGCATCCCACATCCACACTAGAAATGAGAAGACCGGTCACTGGACTGACCTGAGGCCCTGAGGCACCCCCCACTTCCCAGCACAGGTCTGCTATTCAAGGCCACCGTTCTGCCTTTAGCCACACATTTGGGGGCATCTGGAAGAAAAACTCAATGTTGAATTCCCATAGCTCTCCCAAAACCAGTTAGTTCAACGCAGTGCAGAGTCCACCAGCAGAACCACTGGCCACAGGACACTTGGTAGCCCATTAACAAAGACCTTTGGGCAAGTCCAAAGTGACCATGAGTAAGCTCAGGCTGAAATCAGAAGCCAGAAGGTTTCTTGCCATCAGAGCAGGGATTAATCTTTCCAGTAGGAAGTGGAGGAATCACAAAGTTCAATTCTTTGTAAGAGAGGCTGGTGAGTTTATGAAAGGTGATTGTCAGTCTTGATGCCTATATTTTTATATATTTTTTTAAATATATATATAAATATATATACATAAAAATAAAGTGCAATTTCCTCAAATAATAGAGTATTTTCTATCCTCTGTTGGAAAACATAGTCTGATGCATTGCCAAGAGGCCAGCTACACACAGGTCTAGCTACAAAATGACAGCAGAGAGCCTCTTGCCTTCATCCTTCCTTTGACTCATGAAAGGGCAATTAGGGAGAAGGCTTTTCATCCAATTTTATAAATTTAATATCCACAAGCAAACCATGCCAGAGCGTCAGCTGGGCTGGAGCAGGGCCCAAAGCAGCTGGGGCATGAGTGTAAAATTGATTTTATTGCTGTCTCTGTGGTTTTGCAGGGGTGTGGTTGGCCAGCAGCCAGGGAGGCCCCATCACTGTTTATACAGCCTTTCTGCAGTGATTACGTTAACGGTGCCAAGATGGGGGAGAGAAGGGCCTTAGGGACACACAGCACCTCTGGGCTGTCCAGGGACTTCTCATCCTCACATAAAACCACTAGATAGAGGAGCTGACAGGGAGAATTTTCTGCACCTGTGTTTAACAGAGGACTTCAGGGTAGTAGATCAAATAACTCATTAGCTTTCACACTACGAAACATCCCTTTCATATCAACTGATTTTTCCTTTTGCAATCAAAGCTGTGAAATAGAACCGGCTCCAGGGAGCTCGCTCAGCTGCTTGGGACCAGCACGACGTGCTTCTCCGTGAGCTCTGCCCTCCTCTCCAATTTCAAGGCTCCCATAAGGACATCACAGTGTAGTAGCCAGTAAAGCTGGCAAGATAATTTTTCCGTGGAACAAAGCTTTTCTTATTGCTACAGCAAGACTTGTTGAGCCTCAACTATTGCTTTAGGAATAGCCCGTCCCCGATAATGTTTCACTGACCCCAAAACAAAGTCCTCAAGGGAGAGTCTGCCTTTGGCCAGAGATCCTCACAACAGAGGGTCCCTGTGCCCTGCAATCAGAGCAGCTGGGTGAACCCAGCGAAAGAAAACTTGGTCTCACTGAGCAGTTGCCAATGTCAACAAAGCCTCTAGTTCACCAGAAGCACTGACATTTTGCTTTAAACTGGGGGTTTATACTGAAGGGTGGGGGAAGAAAATAAAAATCTTTGTGACCAGCCCTAGATACCAAAGTCTGGACCTGACCAGAAACAGAAAGGGTAGACTCAGTCAACAGGAATTTTCCTGTAGTTGACATCCTGGGAGTCAAAGGCCTGATTTTTCCCACAAGAGTGGCTAAAATGCCATCATATGGATGGGCAGTTGCATAGGTCACGAGTGCTTCCCTCTGATTCAATAAGTCAAAAGAGTAATAAATTCTTGGGGATGTGACCTTGAAAACGTGAAGATTCCTCCATTCATGGTTCCAAAGCAGGATAGTGCGACAAGGACAGGGACCACTGAGATCAGGCTTTTGAAGGCTCGCTGCACAAAGCTCTGGAGGAAGAGCAAGCGTGGCTTTAGGAACATGTAGTGATCTCTAGATGACATGAGATTCAAAAGAAAACTCCCTCCATTGAAGGAGTAAAATATAACTCATAAATTTTGCCTTTTCTACTGTCGTCTGCAGGTTCTTTTTTGTTATCTTTTAGGCAAGACTAGAAGAAAGGACTGTTGCCCAATAATCCAGAGAAATGACAAAGCAATAAATCATTTATTAGGAAAACCACCTCCTAAATATTTGCCATGACCACCCCTTCAGTGTAAGCCAACCACACTGCAGAAAGATAACGGTAGGGGCAACAACTCACCACAGCCACTGCAGGAGAAGCCAGAACATCTTGCGTTCCCAGGACCGTGTAATAGGAAACGTTGGTGAGCATGTACCCCACAATCACAGTGATCACAGACACGATGACAGCCAGGGGGATATTTCTACAAGAGACGGGAAGAGAGGCACACAAAGAACAAGCTGTTATCCCTTGTTGTGCACAGTATTACTGCAGATGGCAGCTGGCTTTGGTTAGGTGAACCCACAAACTTATTTCCACCCATAAAGCATTCGGGAAAGCGGTGGTACCCCAGAGGCTGGTAACCTAAGACACCTTCTTCCCAGCCTTACCGTTCAGGTCTGATCAACTCCTCACGCACAAAGCTGGTCTGAAACCTGCACGGTGAGAAGAGAGAAGGAGAGAGTTTGGGTCAGGGTTCTCAGACACCAGCCTGCTGCCCTCGAAGCACCCTCCCATCACACCTACCAGCCTGAATATGCGAACATGCCTGCATAAAAAGCCAGGGGCAGCTTATCCAAAACCAGTGACTGTCTGTCAAAAGCGTCCTGGAAGTTTTCAGTGTGCCCTGCAGAAAAGATAAACAAAAGACACAGAGCAGGGAATCGTCAGAGACAGGCATTCTTCCTGCAGGATAACACCCCTTGTACCTCTTGCCCAGACCTGGGAAGAGTGTTTGTGACTTCCTTGGAGCCAGGTATTCAGACGTGTTTCATTGCTTTAATTTGCAGTGCTGCGCTGGCGCGTGTACTTCACAAACAGTGACAGGACAGACCCATGTCCCGTCCAGCTGTGGGAAACATTTCAGGAAGGGCAACGACGGCGGCTGGTTCTCTTTTAGACAGTGCCTGCTGTGGGAAAGGGACGTCATGGAGACGAGAGGACCCAAGTTGTCCTATCCTTCCTTAGGCCCAAAATTACTCCTCCGTGTGGTCCCCCCTCTTCCCCCCCCCGCCCCAGCCCCCTAAGCAGCTGGATGCGCGCTCCTCTTTGATGTGGTGCAGCCAGCAAGGCGGCTAATTCGACTCTTGCTGTGCTCCCTCCTGACCCTGCCTCCGGAGCACTGACCCCAGCCCCATGCTGGCCAGAGCATGGGAACCGGGGCGGGGGAGGGAGCAGGAGCAGGGACCATCAGCCTGGCACCCTGCTCTGGGCACGGTCCCCACTCACCACCCCTGCCAGCCACTGCTGCTCACCAGAAGGAGAAAGAACCGAGGACACAGAGGGCAAAACAAATAAAATTTATAAAAATAGAGGTGGGTCAGATAAAAATCTCATTTTACCAAGTCCCTTGATTTTCCTAAAAGTTCTCTGCTTGAAATAACAAAAAAAAAACCAACTAGGATTTTGAATATGAATGATATTTTATCAAACTCAAAAAAAACCTAGGGAAGGGAAGGAGAAACACCTAATGGCCTCCTATTCAAAGGAAGAGCAATAAAAAATGCAGTCTAAATGAGCTGTATTTCTGAAATTTTCAAATCCAAGTGGCCCAAAGTTCCACATTTGTACTTAATTCTCCACATCAAAGTCTCTTCGAAAGAGAAAGATGCGGAGCTTGCATAGTTGAGCTTCGCCAGGAAAGTGATGAAACGGCACGGAGCAGGTAGAGAAGGTCAGGCTGCTTCTACAGAGGTGACTACTCTGCAAGGAGCTCTGTGATGAGATTTGGGCATTTGAGTTAGAGACTCGCTGGGCCAGTGTTTCAAAAACGAACGTGAACCAAAGGGAAAGTAACGGCAGAGGAAAGGATAAGAGTGTAACTGAAAAAGGTAGAGCAAGGCAGAGGAATCAGGCAAACTGATTTAAAAGAACAAACCTGATTTTTAAGCACCAAAAACAGGTGAAGAAAACTAAACCCAAATATGGGAGTGGGTCTATTAGGTTAGTCTTTTTATGTTCTGAAATGATTGCTGGTAAGTCATGGTACATAAAAAGGATTTATTGTCTGCAGTACATTAATGAGTGATTTACAGTCCCCCACGAGTCACATTAAATACAACCTGTCATATTGAGGTCTCTTGGTGAATTCTCCCTCCAGATGTCACCAGCACTTATCCTCCTTGCCAGAAGACGGGTAACAGGGCTCCAGATTGTCCTTTGAAGGCATTCCTAACAATAATGGCTCAGGATTTCTAGCTGCAGGGCAGTCCTTCCATTCAGAAGTGCTGCCAGCCCGAGGGGATCTTTGCATGTTCAAAGGAGCCAGCTCCAGACATCAGAAAGAAACACAAACCCGGAGCCTACCGCCTGTGGTTTCCTCTGCAGAGGAAGGTAGTAGCATAAGGAGGGAGCGGGCGTCATCCCTTGAGTGGGAATGCCTTGGGCTTTTCTATAAACTGAGGCTTGGATTGAAGCCAATGCTCTTGTATCATTCCCAGAAGATACTACTGGTAGGGTTTTTTTTCCCCCCATTCTCAATGTGAGCGTGCAATCCTGCACGAGTCCATTATAAGTTTACTAAGTTAGTGCCCATCTCAATCAGGAGGTAAAAATCATTAGCTTAAGCTACAGAAAGGTTAGAGATGCAGTTACTAGGGCTCAGCTGAGGGCTGGTAACTCATTACACAGCTGTGACTTGCTCGGATCACCATAGAATTCGGTCACACATCCCTGATGTCCATCAAATTTGTGCTGCTTTGAAAGGATTTTGAGCCACGCTGGAAACAGGCAAGTCTGACACCTAAGAAAGACCGTCTGCAGAGGAAGGTGCCTGTATGCCCCTTGGTAGGCTCACACAGCCTCAGGCACGGAGGGGAGACCCAGTTTTAGAGAAAGTACAGCTGAGCATCAGCCCTGATGCCATGATGCATCTTTATGCCAATCACTCCCGTCTCAGCTAGATCACTCCCAGCTAGTTGCCATCCAGCACACCGGCAGAGAAAGATCATGCCAGCTAAAGGGGTACCACGCTTGTCATTAGGGACAAACGAAAGTCATGACGGGCAGGTATGTCAAGCACCCTCCCCCAGCCACCCAGCAGCACACCTACCCTGGGCCAGCAGCATCATCCCTGGCACGATGATGAGCGCAAGCGCCAGGAGTTTGACAATGGAGAGAGCCGTCTGTAGCCGGGCGCTCCAGGTGACGCTCCAGGAATTGAGGGTGAGGACCGTGTCTGGAGAGGAGACCACACTGCTACAGCTGTAGCCCACGCTCAACACATGCAGGTAAAAAGCACAGCAGCACTCCCTGCTCTAGGGATGCTGGGGAGAAGGCTGCGTCTCTACAGAGAGGATGCTCAGGGTGAGCGATGTCAGAAAACGTTACAGGTGTGGCCCAATGTATAGCGTTTGAAGGGGGAGCTGAGTTACGCTCCTAAGAGCAACCGGGAGCCTGGTTCCTGTCGGGTAATCCACGCCTGCCTGGGAGCAAAGGATGAATTTGCAAGGACATCTCAGCAGCCCCTTTCACAGCAGTCCCTGTGCTGGCACACACCAGCCCAGAGCAGGCACGACAGCTTCATTGGCTGGGTGCATCACGAAAGGAGTCGAAAACCTTGACCCTTACCACCCTCAAAACAGGGGGCATTTGCACAATTGTATACGAACAGTTTCTACCTCCGTACTTGGCACAATCCCCCGACCTAGTGCTCCAGCTGGTCAACATGGAGACCCACTTCCCTTCTTGGGGAATATAGCGGTCCCAAACCAGTGCCATGGATCAGGAAGTTTTGAATGGCCAAGTGGGCTCCAATTCCACAGTTATCCCAGAAGATAACATCCCATAAGCACCCCTGGTCTGGGGCAGAGAGGCTCCAAGATTGGAAAGTTAGTACTTACAGTACCCCAGGAGAGACACGAGCTTCACAGCAGAGACCGGGGCTGCACAAGGGGTAAAAAATGGCTCTAGCATGTAGCGTCCAAATGCCAGAGAAACCACAGCACTGTTGGCAGGCCTGGGAGGGGGAGGAACCGAGCACAAAATGAAGTCTGCGGACGCTCAAAAACTGGCATGATGAAAAACTGCACAATACATGAGAGGGGAAAAAGTTTCCCCATCCAGCTTAATAATGCTCTCCCATGTCAATGATGTGTTCCCATGGGGGCTTTTACATAGGTTCGTGGGTTGCAACCACATGCTGTAAGAAGATTTATTCCCAACTTGAAAGCAAAAGTTGAGATTAATCATACTGAGCAATGCAGTATGGTTCTTATGTCCTGCGTCGTTTCAGCTTACATGAAGGATGCAGGTTATTGAGAGGGGAAGACTTCCCTTTTAAAGTTAAAAAAAGAAATTTACAATAATCTAAAATATTATTTAACTTAGGGCTAAGCCAGAAAGTTGTCTCCACAGGAGAATCTGAAGAAGTTTCACAATGAAAATAGAAGATCCGAAATAAATCTGACATCTGTTGTCAGTCTCTGAAAAATAATACAGCTCTTGGAGGATACCAGCTGCCAGGTGAGAAGAGAGATATTCTTCAAATATAGATCACATTGAACATGTGTAAATATTTGTTCATTATGCCTTCTTCCTTTTATCACTGAAAATCTTTAAAAGTTGTTCAAATTGTTTCTACTTTTTTTCTTTATGAACTGCTTAAACTGTTACCTGGCACCGTAACTTTCGGTTTTCTAAATCGTCACAGCATCCAGCAAAAGGCAAACAAACAAATTCTCTTACCTGATAGCAAAAAACTCTGCCCACAGGAATAAGAAACTTGGCAGAGGCCCTAGTGTCTCCAAAATGTAGATATAATGTCCTCCAGACTTGGTAATTCTTGTTCCAAGCTCTGCATAACACAAAGCACCTGGAAAAGTTCAAGTAGAAATGCACTGATTAAATCATCCCATTGATTTTCTCTTTTCTATATGACTTTTCAGGGATTGAATGAATTCGTTTAAAGTAAGTAACAAATTAGAGAAGAAGAAGGGGTGTAGTAGAACCATTCTTTTCCCTGTTTTTGTGCGCTACAATGTTTTGAAGTTTCTTTTGAAGAAATAAATTCTCAGTTTTCTGATAATGATACAACTTTTCCATGAAACTTATGTGGAAAGGTGTGTGAAAGAAATTTTGCATCCAGTTACGAGAGGTTTCCTTTGAAAAACATCCTGGAGGTTTGGGTTCTCTCGCTTCTCCTCACAGTTAAACTGGTAGCACTGCTTAAAGGCCGTTACAGCAGCTCAGCGACAGGCCGTGGCTGAACTCATCGTTCCAATCACGTTTTTGATCATGGACCATGTTCCTGTGTCCTTGTCTTGCATTTTCACATAAATTCCTTTCTTCCTTCAAAAACATCAGACAGAGGACCTGGAAGGCCATCTCCTCTGAAACAGAAGACCTGCCATTGGAGTAAAACACGGCGCTGATGGTGCAGAGCAAGGGAAACGTCCACGTGAGAGGCTTGGTCAGGCTCTTCTCATGTGTTCGCATACAAGTGCACCAGCAGATGTGGGGACTGCCCTCTCCTGCCTTCGCAAGCACCTCTGCACCTCCCTGCCCCGGCACCGGGGCACAATGAGAAACCCTGGGGGAGTTATGCAGGAGAAGATGGCTTAAAACTTTCAGGCAAACAGATAGAAACCTTTATGCCTTCGCCTGTGCCAAGAAAATCCCGTCTGTGTTTTCTTTGTAGAGCTATTCATCATGCTATTTGAATGTGTCTAAGGACAAATCTTGAGCCCTGCCTATATCAGGTTCAGCTGCTAGGTTAAACATCCTTTGTTAGCCAAAAGAAATCATAAAACACTCCATTGTGCACCGCTCTCCTTGCAGTGGGCCTGAGCGCTGTTGGGATGTGACCCTACAGACCATCTCTAGCTGTGCTATCTACTTCTTTGCCCAGCTCAGGCAGCTGTGGAGGGAGAGCACAGAGGAACCCAGTGGTGATACAGGCATGCCTCCAAGTCCTATGGCGATCGTGCCATATTCAGGTCATGTCGATGGTGAGGACCTCAATTTTTCCCTCTTCTCTGTTGGCAAACTCGTGCAGAATCTCTGTTCAAAGTCTTGAACATAGGCAGACACCTCTCATTTATTCCTCTTTGCTTGCTTTAAGCATGCGTTTAAGAGCTGTGCTGAACTCGTGCTATGGGACTCATATAAATGCCACAGTTGAAAGAAAAAAAGCATATAAGAAAGCAGGTCTTTTTAATGTACTGCAAAAGAAGTGTCAGAGAAATGATCAGGGGAGGTCATCAAGCTGATAAAAGGGAAGAACAAACGAATAAATTTGACTACAAAATGCAATAACTTGATAAAGAGGCTCCCAAGGCCCTTCTGGAACAGGCTATCTAAGGATGCGACGGAGAGAGAAACCTTTCCAAGTGCAGAGCTTGGGCTATGTGACCAGTACATGAGTTATCATTTATTGTTCTGCTCAGTTAAAAGAAACACAAAATGCTCACATTATGTTCGAAGATTTTCCTTAAGCAAAAGCATCTTATTCGCCAGACAGCCCACACGTACAGTAAAGGAGACCTGCACTTAACAGCACGTGAAACAAACATGAAATATTGGTATACATATGCTAAAAGCAAGAACCAGAGTTGTTGCCATATTAACAATTGAATGTCCCAATTTCTAAACTTGCATGTACATGCCACAGTGCCAAGTGTGGG